GATATCAAAAAAGTACTCCAGAGTGTTGTTCAGCATGGGGGTGAGTAGAAAATGAAGGCTAATCATGTTTTGGGTGTACTATTCCTTTAATACAACTATTTCTTATTTGTGCACATTAGTTATATTTTTGATAAAAATCCTTTTGCTAAAAAGCCATCAGAACGATATGTTGGGAAATATTTCCACAAATGGGACCAAATTAATTTAGTGAATCACACACCAATGATTTGGTGGTTAAATTATTATGATATATTTTTTTTATCTTAGCTTTTTTCACCAGCATCTCAATAAATCAAGTGACCAGAAGAGGGCAGAGAAAACCGCAACATAACCTCTCCTCTCCTCTCCTCGGAAGCTTATTCAAAGTTTTTCTACATAAATCAGAAGTTCTTTCCGTAAAAATTCAAAAAATATCCACTGGACTTCGTTTCCAAGATTTGAAGACATTTCTCCACCTCTCTAGGAAGCTTTCTCAATTCATTTGAATAGAGAAAGCTTCCTGGAGAGGTGGCGACTATGACCTGGATGACTGAGAACCTTCAACAGCAAATCAGAAGCTCAAATCATTTTCTTTCTCCCACTGTTTCCTGCTGCAGCATCCATGAGGACGAAGACCTGAGCCCCGAGCAGAAGGCCGAGCGCGAGCGAGAGAGGAGGATGGCCAACAACGCCAGAGAACGCCTGCGTGTGCGGGATATCAACGAGGCCTTCAAGGAGCTGGGCCACATGTGTCAGCTGCACCTGAAGAGTGAGAAGCCGCAGACCAAACTGCTGGTGCTGCACCAGGCGGTGGCAGTGATCCTGAGTCTGGAGCAGCAGGTCAGAGGTCAGTGCAGAAGAGCAACAGGAAGGTCCTGAAAGGGACGCATCTGATCGGAATTTTAATTTTAAAAGATTAGCCCAGAATTATTATGTATTATATGTTTAAAATGTAATACTTCATTTGTTTATGTTTGTGAATGCAGGAGTTAAAACAATGATTTATTGTCTTTTGGGTAAAACATCATAATTTATGACACTTATACATCTAGATTATGCAGTTAGACATTAAAAGTGAGAAATTACTAATGTATAAAAAATATTTAGGATTTATGAGGCTTTTTATTTTTGTATCTTTTTAAATTTGGTTTTAGTTTTTCAAGGCAACATTTCTAGTCAAACTCTGAGTTTCTCCGTTCAGCGTTATGGTAACGGCTCAAATGTTGCGTCTTGCAGAAAGAAACCTGAACCCCAAGGCTGCATGTCTACGGAGAAGAGAGGAAGAGAAGGCGTCCGGCATCATGTCGGATCCACAGTCTGTACATCTCGCTTTTCATCCAAGTCTGACAGACCCTTCAAACCCCATGGGTCACCTCTGAGCATCCCTTACAGACAACCTAAAGCCCACATAAAGTATTTCACTCATTTACATTAATGATCAGTTTCAGTCACTTTACAAACTATAACAATGGCTTGCATTAGTGTTTATATTCCTTGAACTTTTCCACAGTTTTTTCATGCCACTTTCACAGTTGGCGACGTATTTTATCTAAATTAATAATGCAAATAAAAATCAGAAATTGGCTTGCAGTTGCATTCAGCCTCCATTAGTCAACAGAATCCAACTTTTGCTGCAAAGCTTCAGGCCTTTTGGGGAATTTCTCCATCCTACTGTAAAATAGTTCAGACTCAGATTACCTGTGGGCATAGAAGAGTATCAGAGTAAAGGGAGATGAATATCCTCTGAAAACCCCCCCGATCGACGGCGACCATTTTTATAGCGTTCACAACTAATAACTCAGAATGCATGAAAATTACAACAGCAACATTTTTTACCAATATAAACATGTTAGACATCGTTGGAAAGCTTAGATTCTCCACAATTCAACCACCAA